AAATTGCCAACAACAGCTTTTAATCGTTCTTTATTTATATCATTAGCGAACAATGTTCCAGAATTTTTCATAATAGCGGCAATATGTGAAGCTTTACCGCCTGGTGCGGCACACATATCAAGAATTCTTTCATTTTCTTTTGGATCCAATGCCATTACGGGCAATAAACTAGAAGCACCTTGTATAATATAATGTCCCGCTAAATATTCTGGCGTTGCACCCATAGGCACTTGTGCAGAATATACTACCAAACCAATCTTTGTCCATTTTCCTATTGGATCAAGATTAACGCCTCTATTAATAAGAGCCTAAAAACATATTTAATATGAATTACAATTATAAATAAATTGCCTTGGACATAAAAATAATTAATAATAATAAAAATAATTAATTTAGTCTGTATGAATCTGTACCTCAGCTAGATCACGTCGTCGCGTTCTCAGAGTATTCGTGCGAATCGTCATAGGTCTTTGTACCTCACTCGCTTCCAAAAATTCTGACAACTCGTCCATTGGAAATATTTGCATGAGTTTTTCCATTAAGAAATTGTTATAACTGTAATATGTACAGAGATCTTGTTGAAGTAATTTGATGTATTCAGAACGTGGCCTATTTTTCTCCCGTAATCTTTTAAAATCTGATAACACCATAATAACGTCTCGTATTCGTTGCTGAACGTCTTTTAAATTAGTAACATTGGCAAGTTCTTCCTCAGTTGGAAAAGAAAATACACTTTGATTCGCTATCATATCATCCATTTCTTCTTCTGCTAGTTTTCTATTTAGTAAAAAAACAAAGAAAATTATTAATTATTAATTGAAAGAAAAGTTAGTTTTATAAATAATAATTGAAAATTAACTTACTCTTCCTTTTCTTTCTTTTTTTTCAGTTTCTTGTTAGCCTTTTCTATAGGAAGTAAATCATCATCGTCACTTTTATCATTTTCTTCCTTTTCTTCTTCCTCTAATTGCTCGTCTTCAGTCGATTCTTCCTCATCACTAAATGTCATTTCTTTACTGTCATTTTCTATGTCATCTTCCATAAAGTTTTGCTTTGCTTTCTTAAAATTTTTCTTTGATCGTTTTACCATAGAAAACAATTGATTGTCTTCTTCACTTGTTTCTTCTTCATCTTGTTCTATTTGTTCATTTTCATCTTCTTCATTTTTGTCATCATTATTAAATATCATGTCATTATCACTACTACTTTCTATATTCTTAATATCTTTTTGTTTTATCTTTTTCCTCTTTTTACTTTGTTTTGCTTCTAGCTTTGATTCTATGTTTGCTTTTTTAGGAGATTGAACTTTTATTTCATTTTCTTCTTTTTGATAATTGTTATTGGCAAATTTTACTTTCTTTTCTTTTTTCTGTTTTTGCTGCTGTAGTATATCTTCATTCTAAAATTGATTAAATAAATGTAACAAGAAGTAATGTAATAGACATTTACCATGTAAATAAAAAATATACTTTTTTAAATTCTATCTGCTCTTTCATGTTTGTTTTCTTTTTAAGTAATTTCTTTGCACTTTCTTTTAGTTGTTGTTTCTTCTGCAGTCTATTCTTTAATCTCTGCTTTTGTCGGTGACTTAATTTATTAGATTCATGAGCTGTAATAAAAACAATAAATTAGATGTCACATTTAAAACTTTATATAGATACTGATACAAATTTATTTGCTTCTTTTCATACCTAGGACTCTTTTTGGAAAAGTTGGATCAGCCTGTTTTTTCGCTTTTCTTCCATGACCACTGGAAACTTGGTCTCCTTCAAATTTTGCCTTGCGACCCATTTTAATCTACAACTATTTAATACGTTTTTTTATTCATTGATTATTCGCAATATAAATATCTTTAAATTGTATATTACAAATGATTAATATTTTAGCTTATTTTATATAAAAATATAAAAATATATAATTTTTATTGATAACATGAAAAGTTAACATTTCTTTCAATATTACCTCCTTCTTCTACGTGATGATATTTATCGCAATAACGTTTAGAACAACACATTAAACAATACAATGTCTCATATTATATATATATATATATATACATTACAATAAATGCATACATGTTTCTAACCTCCACGTGATAGCAATAAGGAGATATGATTGAAGGAGGTAGTATTGAAAGAAATGTTAACTTTTACTCAACAATACAATTAAAAGTAGTCTTGTAAAAACATTTCAATAACTTATTATTTTATTAAAATTACCGCGTTGTGAAACATTCACATCCAAATCCAGCTTTGTATGCAGCGTGGTTAAAGATTTTAACCAAAAGGCCGATTTCGACGACACCTATACTGAAATCCGATCACGTGTGATCGAAAAAAATTTTGTATTAAAAATTTGAATCTATTTATTTATTCGTCTCGTTATGCATATATATTGCACTTTTGATTTATTATAAAAAATTAAAAGTAGCAGGCTCTCATAAAATCCCATACGATGTAATAATCAAAATTAAACAATTCAAAAATAATGATAAGATTAATTAAAATGTTAAATTAAAAATATTAATTATAATAAGTTATTAACAAATTCTTATAATTTTCGGCAAAAAATGTGGAACGCTTCACGATTTTGCGTGTCATCCTTGCGCAGGGGCCATGCTAATCTTCTCTGTATCGTTCCAATTTTAGTATATGTACTGCCGAAGCAAGTACGAGAGGGATACTTTTTATAATCGTATATATAGTACAGACTAGGTTTAAAGGTGCCTTCGAGAAAATCTCATTGGATTTCAATAGAACCCCGAGTGGCCATCTAGTAAACGATAAGTGAACTATTTTACTTCATCATTATTAACTTTTTATAAATATTTATAACATGCTCGTATCAAGCTAAACATTGAAGATCAAAATTATTAATTAAAAATTAAATATTATTCAATTGCACTATAAATTATAAATCGCACTATAAATCGCAATTTATATCAAGATAGATTTATAGAAAGTAAAGATTTATAGCGGAATTTATCGGTATATTAAGTAAGCTAAATTGTTTATATTGTTTGCAAGAAATCGCTCTCTTATATTTAATATTTAACAGTCTAATGATTATTTTTATCAACGTTAACACAGGTTAACACAGGTTAACACAGGTTAACTTTAATTTACTTTTTATCCTTTTTCATTTTTAAAAATTAGAAAAAGATATGAAGCGAATTAAACCAAGATTGTATTACATAAATTTTACTAAAAATAAACATTAATCAAAATATTAGTTTATTAATAATTATATCGTTACATTCTATTTTCTTGAATGTGCCGCGCATTGTGACGTATCCTACGGGGTTCACACGAGTCGCGGCACGGCTGTTAAGACAAAAGACGATCGCCACGATCCGCGTACTTCGTTGTTACTTCGCCGGTTTAAACAACGCAAACGCGACAAGTGTTCGCAATACTTGGTTTTAGAAAGGATGCGGGATCGATTGTGTATAAAGTAGTAGTGTGGTGATCGCGGAGCGTTGTAGACGTGTCGAAATTTCTCTGAAATTTCTCTGTTGCTTTTTTTTTCGCTGAGCCGCGAAGTTAACCGTGCTTGCTTTCGCGTGATGTCGGAACGCAACGTATCGCTCGATCATGCTTTTGCGCGTGTTTTTCGTGCGTGAGAGAGATGTGAGAGAGATGTAATGTTGTAACAATGGATGAACAAAGCGACGCGGAAAGTGGATCTGTGAAATTTCCAGCAACGAATTTTGGATCTTCCAGACACGACGTGGTCGGAGTTCCAAATCATGCGGCGAAAAAGGGGATTTATAAGGTAAACAACTTCGACTCCTTATATATTGTGGAGCGAGACTAAAAACGACTTAAAAACGCAACTTAAAACGCGATACTTTTTCTATAGACAAGATTCTCGAGATATTCTGGAATGCTATTCTCGCCGGGACAAAGGAGCTGGTACTCTTTTGTATAAAAATTTGTATGTACTTCAATAAGGAACTTCGGGAATAACAGCATAACTGCATAAGGATATGAAAGATCCTCTTATCTTTTATTCCTCGGTCCAAAAATATAAATTCTCTTGAGATGCAGGAAAGAAGATATACACATTTTGCGTTCGTAATATTTTACAGATTCGAAAGTAACATCAATATCTTTCAATTAATTTTTAATAATATGGCATGAAGAAAATATATCACTGGCTGACTTTGATAGAGCTAATTAATAAATTAATATATAATAACGGCATATATATATTTTTCTAAAGCAAGATGAAAAGTATAGAGTATGTAAGCTGAATGCAGTATCTTTGTGTGCGATTGTTTAAATTATAAAATTAAAAACAATTATCAATATAACAAACGTTTCGACTTTAAATTGAATTATTCTCAATGTATGTATCACTCATACAATATAAAAGTATTCTTGTTATCATTTAAATTAATATTAAAAAATCCGCAAAAACTAACAAACGCATCAAAAGTAATAAAATAATGCATAACAAAAAGAAAAACGCATGTTCAATTATAAAATTATAAAATTGAACATGTTTTTCTTTTTATGTATTATTTTATTACTTTTGTTTGTTTATTACGTTCGTTAATTTATTGTTAATTTAATTAACCTACGTTGGTAAAAATAATCATTAGTTAAATATTAAATATAAGAGCGATTTCTTGCAAATATAAACAATTTAGCCCACTTAATATATTGACGAATTTTTAACGCTCCTAAATCTTTACTTTCTGTAAATCTTGATTGTAATTTACATTGCGATTGAATAACATTTAATTTTTAATTAATAATTTTAATCTTTAACGTTTAGCTTGATGCGAGCATGTTATAAAAAGTTAACAAGGATGAAGTAAACTAATTCACCTATCGTTTACTAGATGGCTACTCGGAGTTCTATTGAAATCCAATGAAATTTTCTCGAAGGCGCCTTTAAACTTAGTCTGCAATATATATACGATTATAAAAAGCATCCCTCTCGTACTTGCTTCGGCAGTACATATACTAAAATTGGAACGATACAGAGAAGATTAGCATGGCCCCTGCGCAAGGATGACACGCAAAATCGTGAAGCGTTCCACATTTTTTGCCGAAAATTATTAAGAACTTGTTAACAACTTATCATGTAATTAATCTTTTTATTTAACATTCTAATCTTAATATTAGTTTTGAATTATTTAATTTTGATTATTTATCACGTCCGCATGCAATCATCCTATTTTTTAATATTAATTTAGATGATAACAAGAATATATTTTTATATATTGTACGAATTATGATACGCGCACTGAGAATCATGTCTAATCTAAATTGAAATGTTTGTTATATTCACGATTGTTTTTAATTTATTTAATTGTATTTAATTTTATAGTTTAAACAATCGTACACAAAGATCTCACGTTCAAGCTTTCACGCTTTTAATTTTTCACCTTCTTCGATAAAACTGCTTTTAAATATAAAAAAATAACTAATAAAGCAGAAATTACGTGCGAAAATAAAATTATCATACTTCTTCTCTGGTGAAAGATAGTTGAAGATAAAATGTTAAAAAATTTTCCAATTTTAATATTTCATCAGAATAAAGGGAATAAAGAATAATTAGTAAAAAGTTAGGAGATTAAAATCATATCTTTCATACGAAAAGAGAAAAGATATGAGTGCTAGATGTGATACTAGTTTAAAAAGTAGAAATGGATAGAAATGATCGCTCGATATTTCTAGTGTTAATTTTTTTTTTTTTTCTTTTTTTTTGTTACGCGTAACAGCCGAGAAATTCTGGCTGCGCCTCTTTGCCGAGCAGCATTTCACGACGTTTAAATCGGAGAAGAACTTTCAGTGGGGCGCGCGACGCGATAAAGGAAAAGTTCGACATTCATGACAGAATTTTAAAGTTTACGCCCGCGAGAATATGAATGTTTAATGGTCCCGTGCCCCGCGTCGACCAGGAGGAAACGAGCGGCGCACCGACGAGAGCGCAATTTGATTTTTTTCGCGCGACACTGATATCTAACGGCCGCTCGGTAATGCAATTTACATAGCACGAAAAAGGAAATATTCGTCGACGAATCCCGCCCGCCTTCGTTCGCGACCCCGGAAGCATTTCAATTATCCCAGTTTGTATTTCGTGACTTCTTCACCGGAGGAACGTTTCAGTTACCCTCGTAGGCTCCGTCCCGGCGACTCCATTTCGCGTCTGTTACATCTGTATTTATTTCGCATGCGTACAATGTAAAAGAAAGGATACAGTTAAACAAAAATGCACGACGTAAATGTACTTTATCTCGAGTTTCTATCGCTTAATGTCGAATTAAAAGCTGAACGTGTCTTCGTTTGCACGAAATTCTTCGATCGAAAGATGACGAAGATATCATCATGTGGAATAATTATAAATTTTATAGCAGAATAATTGTAATTTTATAAAAACTTATTAAATTTTATAAACATTTATTAAATTTTATATTTTACAAAACCGCCCAGTTGCAAATGCTTTTTTTTATTCTTTGCAATCAATTATTTCACCAACACAATTATTTTAAAATTAACATTTTATGCAATATTAAAAAAAATCAAAGATAAATATATCCTCCATTCCTCTTTTCGCCTGATGGAAAATTGAGAAAACAAAGACATTAAAATCTTTTTTTAACTGGAGACAAGCTTAAATCAAAGCCTCCCGTCGTTGGCTTGTTTATGGGATATCGAAACTCGAATGATATTCTCGTGTCTCTGCGCGTTGCATCCGAAATGCTGCTGCCTTACAATGAATTACCGTATGCGCATATAATCGCAGTAGCATAACAGTGGTCACGACTTCAATTAAGCTGGTCGTTCAATTGTGCAAGCTTTCCCCCCCCCTTCCCTCCCTCCCCTCCTTCTCTTGCTTTCGAGCGTGCGAATGGAGCATGGGTCAAGTCAGATCGCGCACGATTCGACTAGCAAATTCGCAAAGCACGTATTTCGCGGCATCCATCGAATCGTTAGAATTCAACCTCGGGCGCATTGTGCCCGGATCGTTGGAAATAATTAAGCTCTCTCCACGTGGGCCAAAGCCCTCCCCCCCCCCCCGGGAACGAAACGGCTCTCATGAGGAAGACGGAAATCGGACTGAAACTGAATCTCACGAGATGTGAATGACGAGATGTCGAAAAGCGTCCTATTGTTTGGAAAATTAATCGAATCGATCTTTTTAAGACATTGTCCATTCGAGGAAAAATTCAATGTATCATCTGTGCTACCGGTTGCTACTCAATAATATAACGTTAAGAGTATGGATTTTTTTGTTGTAAAAAAATGATTTGACAGGATTATTAAAATTATCGTCTTGTTATTCGTTATAATATTCATTATTCTTCTTATCTATCAGCAAAATAATTTATCATCTAGAAATCTACTCGTTCGTTTTTACAAATATTAAATGTAGAAAAGGCAAGTAAGAAAATTTATTTGTTGAAAAATAATATTTATTACGTTTTTGACGTGATGTTTTCTGCTGAACGAAACGGAAAATAGAATGAATGAAGATCTCT